CTGGCCAGATGTGTCACTAGAGGGGTCACTCAATTCTGTGCTCCCTTCAAACTTCAGACAAGTTTAAAACAGTCATTTAGACTGTGATAATCAAAGCATGGCTTAGAACAGCAGGATCCTCTTCAAAGATTCTCTTCCAAGAAAGTTACAAAAATTCCCAAAGTTTTTCATTTCCCAGTCAAACGCCAACATCTTCCATCTCTGTATCGCTCCTAAATATAGTATTTTACAGCCCCTTCAGAGACTGACATTGGCACCAGTCATCAGTGAGAGAGCAAGAATCAGCTCATGGTGCCTGTTCTCCTCCCTGTCTCAGTTGCTTCCTCTCATTCATCATCATCCTCAGTTACACCACTGGGCTGGGCCACTCCCGCTCACCTCGTTTCCCTTTCCTCCTCCAACGACAGGAAGACAGTGACAGGATTAAAGATGACAAGCAGAGAGGTGACACGGGTCGCTAGTATACCAGAACCACCCACCTCCACGTCCCTTCCTAATGGCCCTCTGCACAAGTTAAGGGAAACAGATGATGGAAGGAGCTGATGAGAAGCCAGTGACTTTGGTGTAAAAATAAAACAAAGCAACCTATTCTCTCAGCAGATCATCTTGTGAAAAGGAAAAGAGCAACCCACACTTCCTCACATGGAGGCCACGTCAACTCAAACCCCGTAAGACAAGGCCTGTCGACGAAATGCCTAAATGGATGAGAGATCCCAGTCCATGCATGAACAATTCATTCAGAAGCATCCTTCCCCCAGACCCTAAGCCTGTTGATATCCAGAGGTTTGCTGGCTTCCTTCTCTCCTCTGAGCAGGAGTGGATCCCAAACACAAATCATTTAACTTGAATTCCAATGCAAAATGAAAGTCATTTTCAAAAGTCTTTACAACAGAATTAATCCAGAATTCAACCATTTGGGTTACGCAGAAAAATGTCACGGTATCCAAGAGGAAAAACACGTTATTGCCCAAGAACTGTAAGTATTCTTGAGGCACTGCTTTGCCAATAGCTGACCACCCACTGGTACCATCTTACAGCCCTGCACAGATGCAAAAACTTGTCCGCTTTTGCAGTGCCAACCAGGCACTGTTGGCTGTCAGACTGCACTAATGCTCACCAAGGATTGTTGTTGAACAGAAGGAATTATGGAGGGCTTCTTGCAGAGAAAGCCAGAGATCAAAAGGGTATTTTTAAGAAGTAAAAACTTACCTACCACCGACATAAGTGCAAATACAATAGCTTCCCCGATGTGAAAATAAGCAAATAAGTTTTCCATTGGACAAATAAGTCCCATGGCCTCACTCTGATTCCACCCACCCCATTCAAGGATGCCATCATTTCCCAACCATTTTCTCATGAAAAAAAATCAGTTTGTTTTTACATATATATTACTAGAGCTATGAAGACATTTTGTTTCTGAAGACAACCTTCCTTTTTGTCCAAAATGCAACAGAAGTGATGGTTTCTATTTTTAACTTCTTTGTTCCCCAGCAGGTATTTTAAAGACACATCAAAAAGGAAAAAAGCCCAAAGCATGTACACACTTTCCAGCTTGCAGCACCTCCCCAGTTCTAGTCAGAGGCATTTGTCATCCCTCCGTGTACCTACTAACTTCAAAAAAAAATGCCTAACAGTCCTCACGCTTAAAGTAGGTTTAAATAAGGAGCAGTAATTCTGAAGATATCTTATTTTTCTGCAAAACATCCCATCAGAAAAAAAAGAAAAAAATAAAAAAGAAATTAACAAGAAAGAGTTTATTCCACCTCCCCCCACAATGTGTGTGGCTAAGCTCGGCTGCCAGAGTAAGGCCAGGCTCACCAGGCAGCTTTGCCTGGACCACCAGATGGTGCTGATGGTCTGCGGGAAACTAAACGCCGGCCCATCGCTGCTTTTCTTGCATAAACCGTAATATTCACAATTAAAGTACCAGAGAGATCTCAAACATATTTTTAAACGTATAAATTGTCACGTGAGCAATTGCTGTATGGTCCAACCTAACGGTTTGCCATACTATCAAACAGGAGTGGTCTAAGAAAGTTGCAAATTTTTTAAACTTTCTTCTTGCATTTTCTCTACTGGCAGTCTGTATCTTTGACACAAAGTTACTTTTTTTGCCAGAACATTAGTGCAGATGCTCAAATGAAGCAGCACTTTACTTGATTAATTTGGTTTTTAAATCTTCCTGATCCCAAACACTTAGTTTCAAACACACAGAGACGCTACTGTGATTCCTGCTAGGTGTGAGCGGTCACATACTTGGCACCAAACATCAGTGGCACTTAAGGAGATGGCGCAATGTGAAAACACAGTGAAACAAGCAAAAGCTTAGAAATTGAAGCATTTTCAGATTTAATTCTCTTGATTATCAACTCCCAAAAAGCAGATGAGGGGAGGAAAACAAAAAGTAAGAAAACACCCACTTGGAAAAAAAGTCTTAAAGAATACAGAAATTTGGACTGGGCGAATGTAAACAAAGCCCTACATCCAATTTCAGTGTGTGTGCTTGGGACTTGCGCACTAAACCTAAACCTGTGCCAAGAATCACAAGCTCAGTATCTATAAACAGTCAATCCACCTCCACCCTCACAAGTGTGCAAAAGCTGCATTCACAGTCTGGCTTTTGTGCCTCTGCACCATATGGTAAGTTGTGAACCTCAAAAGAAAAGGAAAAAAAAGCCAATCCAAGGAGTCACCCACGGTTTTCCCCCCACCCACCAAAGCCCTCAATGTCCTGGAATCAAGCGATTTCAGTCACCACCCGAACTACCTCTGTGGTGCTACAGGGTGCATCTACCAGCCTTCCTACTCTGTGCCAGCTTTCAAATTTTCCTACTCTCTCTAAAGAGGGCTCAATTTTTTGCAGTAGTTTCGTAGTCACTGTTCTTCAGCAACTAGTGCAATACAGCTCAAATTCCAAACACGTACTTAGAGTACCATTCAAAAAAGTCACGTGGAACCAAGATAGGGATAAGAACAAGACTGTGTGGTTACTATATTGTCCTATCTCAGGTTTATCTTGGGACACAGGAGAGTTCTCCCCAACTCTTTGTGATGTCTCTATGAAAAATAAACTAAGGTTTTAGCCCGTTTGTTCATGAATTAAATGGTGTAAAGCAAATTACTGTCATACAGAAACTATTAAAATTAGTTGCATTATGAATACTTAATCAAATAAAGATACTATAGAAAAGCACTTATTTTTCAGCAGGCAAACATTCATCATTGTACGGAAAAAATACACAGAAAAACTGTAAATAGCCCTTGCTGCATAGTCTATATTTATGATGAAGTTAGCATATACTTCCATCACATCACATTACGTTTGGTTTTGCAGCCTGTAATTTTACTCTCAAAAAAATCAAGAGTAGAAATGAGAAATACAGCACCTCGCATTGCAGTGTAAGAAGTTGGTTTTCATATTCTTAACCTGGATTCCAAGCTAGAGGAAGCTGCCACAAACAGCCAGGGAAAGTGCATCGGCGCAAAACCTGCGACTAATAGGAGAAGCCCTTTCAAGCCCTGGCAAGTTGCCTTAATTCCAGAAAGAACTCATGTTGGTACTTCAGGTAACAATAATTACAGACAAATATTAAAGCACACCAGCAGTCAGTATCGCTGCGCCTGAGAAGTGCTTTCCTTCGCCCAGAAGCTCTGCTAAATTACCTCAGCACCGTCGGGTATAGTTCAGACGTATAAATATACACGATGTTGAACGCGGCGCTGACCATCATTTTTCCACACAAAGCTAACAATGTGGGACTGAGCAGCAGACCTTTCAGGAAAGAGAAAATAAGTTGTAAGCATAAACAGTCTGTTTTCTTACCCTTTTTACACAATGTTGAAAACATCCAGTCCTCTTTAAGAGACTGGCGCATGAAAATGTTTCATCTGTGTGTTTTTAAGCTACCAGCACAAAAGCAGTTATGTCAGTTCTTCTCAATCATTCTAAGAGCATAAAAATAGACAGTAAAATTATATTTAGGACCAAGAAAGTCTGCCCTATTTTGGGGGGGCACATGTAAAACTATCAAGAGCTCTGGAAGGAAGGGATAACACTTCCAGCTCTGCAGCCAGAGTATCTAACCAGGTAACTATCTTTTGACAAGCGCAGACAATACGACCTCTCCTCAACTAATTTATTAGATTAAAATCATAAAACTTGATTCCCTTCAGCAGCTTATTTGCTCCCAAAGGACACCTTGCTGGGACTTGAAATGCAGCAGCTCTGTAATTGGAAAGAACAGATGCTAATGCAGCCCAGTTTACTAATAGACAGTCTTTAGTTGGCTAAACTGGAGTGTGATTCTTGTAAAGGCCAAAAGAAATCTGGCTTTCGTTATCCCGATTTTGGATATGGTTATGTTTGCACCACCCATTTTAATAAAAAGAGAATTTAGTGTATTTTTTTAAGCATGAAGTAAGAACAAATGCTCTGATTAGCTGTTTTTCAGGTTCTCTTCCTCAGCACCGAGTTCAGCATGTTTCAGTTTGGATCAAACGATGGTGATTAAGTAATGGGAAAGTCTGATTGCTTCTCAATTGCTTTAATTTTGCCCTCGAAAATCTGCAGTTCCATTTGTCTGATCAAATCACATTCTATTTCAGCTGAAGCAGAAATTCATTTGTACTTAAACCAAAACCAAGAAGCTTGATTTAATTTCTTTAAGCGTGATGCATTTTTGCAGTTATTTTTGTAATTCACACAAAACAGATGCAACATTTTCATCCCAGCTCTCCTTTTGCTCAGTAAGAACTGGAATATTACATACAGTTGCCAGATGCAGAGGTGTGAACCTGGTCCTCTGAGCCTTGCTGGGTGCCGTCAGAAACCTGGGATATCCTTTTTTTTCCATCAACCAAACATGAAGCAATGAAGAAGAGATTTGTAATTCTACAACGTGTTTTAAAACTTGCTGGTTTTCTCCCAGGGAGCCTTAAACTGAACAATGCATATCCACATACTAAAAATTTAACATTAGTGCACTTGGGAAGATTTGGTCTTAACTAGCAGAACAGAAGAAAGAGTCTGTCTAGACAGAGAAATTAGCACTCAGAAGCTCAGGAGAGAATTTGAATAGCACTCTCTTCTCCAGGTTCCCTCCATCAGGGGAGGATGAAGGCTGGGCACGTGGGGAATTACTCTGGGATTAGAAGCAGAATGGAAATTCACTGCACATCAGCTTCCTTGTGTCAGCAAATCCAGACACAGTCGTTATATTTTCCTCAGAGTCCTGGAACATATTTTTAGCAAGTCTTGCAGAACAACCCGTTATTTTCTTTACAGATATAAAACATAATGCCATTAAGCAGGAACGCACTTTTTCCTATGAGGATTCTGGTGAGCGTTCCTAGGTCATTCACTAGGTCCGTGCAGCCAAGCATGTCCGTGCAGCACCTTTTGACATTTCTGATCTATTTTGTCTAACACCCTTTCACCTGAATGCCCAAGTGGCAATGGGTATGCACACAGTTCCGTCTGAAACAGTACAGTCAGGGCAACCGTCTCTAATTTTGGTAAAAGGCAAAAGTTCTAAGTTCTTAGAACTTAGTTCTAAGTTCGTTTTATTGATAAGAAATCATCTTCCATTAATTGATCTTTCAAATTTAAAGTAGTAAAAGGGAGGAAAATGGTAACAAACAGTGCTGATGTTTAATAGCTTCTAGAACAGGAGTTAGAAGTTTTGATGCCATCATTATCATTCAGAGTCTCATTAGCAGTGCCATGATGTAGATTCACTTTCTGGCTGTCATTGTCCTAAGTAAAAGTTCACTTAAACAGTACTTTTGAAACTAAAGAAGTCTTTAAATTTACTTCAGAAAAAATACACACCAAGAAAGGTTAGTTCTCAACAAAAGCAAACACCTAACATGAAAAAAAGCTGAGACAAACGATTTAAAGATCAGTGAATTTTCTATCCTTCAGAGGAAACCATATCAATGAAACTCACAAAAAGTTCCATGTGTTCAGCACAAGGAGATAAATCTAAATGACATTTTAAATCCAGTTACTCCTAGACTAGAAGTCTCCTAGCATAAAGCAGACAAAAAACGCAGAAGATGTCTTTGTGCTTTACAGCTCCTTGTGAAATAAAAGATTACAGCTCCATTCCCTCTCCATTGCCACTCTCCCTCACCATCTTCCAATCTGATGCTCACAAACTAACTGACAAGTTGTGAGTGATAAGCAAAGAGGGAGCTGAGGGATATATCAGCTTTTACTTAACCATCAAGAGATTTTTAGTCTCAAATTCAGTGCACATCTTCAATAACTGAAATGTTCTTGGCTCATTCCACAGGGGAGATGACTTGGATCAGATTCTCATTCACAAGTAAGCAGAGTTATTTAGAAATCGAGCGAAGGTTACAGACACGAGACACAAGTGCCCAATATCTCATTAAAATCTTAAATCCCTTGTAATAAAAATCAAGGCTCTTGTCAATCACACTGAAGAACGCAGACTTAAGCAAACGAAAGAAGTGTTCTCCTTAGTAACAGGAGGGTCAGATTAGAGGTGCAACAACTCTCATTTCATCCAGCAAAATGACTCTTCTTCATCATGCTTGGAGATCCATTTCTTTCTACTTAAGTGACACAGATCACTCTGGGCCAAGAACCAGCTTTACTCTTGCCACAGAGGATAGTAAGACATTTTAATGGGATTAAAGTCAACTCAACTGGAAAAGGCAGAAGAATTCCTTAAGTTTAGCAACTCTTCAGGAATTATTACCCTATTCTGATTAGTCACTACTGCTTTTCTTCCATTTTGTTTTAAAATACATTAGAAGAAGCAGAAAGAGCAAATTTGTTGGAACAAAGGAAGAAACAGTCTCAATAAAGAGAGCAACAAAACGTCCAAAGACTTGAATTAACAAAAGCATGGCAAAAAGGATTACAGGACATTTTCTCTCTCTCCGTTTTTCTTCCCAAGACTTTTCTGAGATCAATTTGAAACGGATACCGGACAGCATTTGTAACTGTTAAACACAACCTATAGAAGGCTAACTTGTAATCACATCCCTGGTGCCCCTGGGTCAAAACATTGTTAAACCTAAGACATTTATACTGAAGCAATATTAAGAAAAATACAAGCAGAGAGCAGCCACTTCTATTTCTTAGTGTCGTATAGATCTAAGTTTCCAGTAGCTAAAATAAATACTGTACTCCAAAGGGAAAGTGAAAATATAAAACCAAACATATGTGAACATACGACAAAGTTAGAGAAACCACATCTTTTGACATGAGAAATATACTTGGTGATACTCCACTGTTACCATGAACTGTCCTCACAACCACCTAGTGCAGCAATACGCAGCATGACAGCGAGAAAGGCAGCAAGCTTCTTGCACTCCCTATGGTTTCCATATTAAAGTTCTGACTTCCATTTCTAATTTTCAAGTATAAAATGATTTTTTTTAAGCTTTTTAGTGTTTTGGCATTTTTGTTGGTTTTTTTGTTTGTTTGTTTTGGTTTCGGTTGTCTTTTTTGTGTGTTTTGTTTTTTAAATAATGAATTACACTTCTAATTCAGGAAATTCTCAGTTCTTATTTCTATAAATATTAGAGGTCCCCAAAACAAAAGTAAAATTAAGCTTGGCATCTCACACTGTCAAGATCCAGTCAAACTAACATACACTGCACTGCAGTCTGGCTATTAAATCTAGTATTTTAAGGTGAACTGCTTAATAGTGATAAGCTTAAGCATTTAAGAGGGAATGTGGTACTTGCTCTGACCTTTAAAGAGCCAAAGGCTTCAAGTCAGATAAACTTAGTCAATTAGCAGAGTCAAATTACACTAGCAAGAAGCTAAAAGCTACATAGACAAGAACGTGGCTCCCTGACCAGCCCCAGAAGAAAGAGAGAGAAAGAGAGGTATAAATGGATAGCACTTTAGGCCCTGATATACTTGGCCACAAAATACTCATTAAATTCTTTTATCAGCTTTCATCCAAATTAACAAACATCTACTTTACCAGCAGTACATACTTACCAGCATTTGTTGGCACAAACATGGTAAATATACAGGCAAATCCTGCAAACATCAGAAAACATGTCATAGTTTTACGTCTTCCAGACCTAGAAGGAAAAGAGCACCCGGGTAAAGATGGAAACAAAGTTCTTCAGTATTTTTTGAATTTGTCTGCAAAATACCAACTACAGCACACAGCAGCATTAATAACAGTTACAAATCTATTGTACCCTGGTAAATGCTTTCAAATCTTGCATAGTTCTGTACACATAAGTCCTTCCACAAAAGCTTTTCTATTTCTAGCCAAGTTCTGATTTTTAAGCTATTGAATTTGTAACCTTGAGAAGAATCCACCTATTTCAGCAACAAGAACTAACAGAATTTTCTTCTTCTCTGTACTGAGCAAGGCAATAGGCCCCATCACCAAAGGGTATTACAGTGCATACACACAAAAATCAAATTAATATTGGTCAAGAAAATGTAATTCTAAAGCTTCTTAATCTGTATTTCTCTTTTACAACTTTGAATAAATATATGCAGCTACGACGCACAGTGAAGTTATTTTGTATGCCTTTCTGTCTAATAGCATACACAGAAATAAGCAAAGGCTTCTTCTACTCCTTAGTGTTTTAAAATGAAAGAGAAGACAATAGGATATAAAATCACCAGCCCATCTGCACATCCGCCATACTTAAATTTTTCATAATTATCTGCAAAGGACTAAACACAAAGATATCCTCAGTAGCAGTTTGCAGGTGTGTAGGAATATTATACATGCTTGTTACTTCATGAACTCTCGCAGCTATTTCTAACTACTACCCCATACTGCTATCTATAACTTACACAACACTTACGTTTAAAATCTTCTAAATCTTTTTGCAACAACAAAAAAGCTGTATTTTAAGGATACTGCTCACTAAAACCAAATGAAAACAGAGCAGCTGGCTTGTCACATTTGTTTTTGCAGTAAGCACCTAAAACTACATATATCCTTACTTCAGGGGGGGAAATAAGCTTGTAAAACAAATTGTAAATTTCATATGACAGCGGGGAAACAAATATGTAGAAAAGGACTTGCGCAGTTTGTGGTTTAAATGCATGTCCTTGTCTTAGGTTTTCTAGGCTCAGGGTGAAGGATGGTTTGTTTTGCTTTTTAGCTTGACCAAGCTGACAGCTTTTTACTGCCCAAGAAACCCAAAAGGTGACATCCTCACCTGACTGAAGAAAATGGGATTTTTGCCCCTGACCTCAGTGAGATCAAGCTATCACTACAAAGATACTCAAACTGAAAGTCAGATGAAACCCTGAGTAGCTCTGAGTTGCCAAACAGTTCAGCCTTTGGAAATAAGTACCCACATAAAGGATGGCTGCCATATCGACCGAAAAGTATGAGAACACCAGATGTCAATCATTCATGCCTTAATGCAAACTGAATGGTTCTTACTTTAAAGTTCTCTTTGAAAAGTTTAAGTAAAAATAAACACTGCTGAAAACCGCTTTCAATTGCAATTGGCAGGCAGTACAAAATTAAGACATTTTGAATAAAGTGTGTAAGAGATAAATATAAGCTATAGACACTTAAATTACCAAGCTACTCAGATTTTTTTCCATAAAGATTAATCTTTTTTAGTAACATTAATCATGGAAAAACTCGTGTCTTGAATAATTCAAAGATGAACAAAACCAAAAAAGGTAAGAGGTAGAAAATCGAGTCCCATTTCTGTATCAACTGCGGAAACCCCTGGAGCAGACTAAATCCCCACAGAATCAACTGTTTTAGAAGAACAGTAAAGTAACTTCTTGAAAAATATGTTAATATTTTTTTAGGCTATCTACAAATATATGCAGAAAACTAGGAAGTAAGTTTTTCTTACCAGGATTTCTCAATGAAAAGCATGCAGAGAGGAAATGCTGGAACTTCTACAAGACCAGAAAGAGCCACATTTAAATACAGATTTCCTTTTAATTCACCAGCATTTAAAGTTAGTCCATAGTACACAAAGCTGCAGACATACCTAAAAATAACCACGTAAGTTATATTACTAACATAGCTAAGTCCTTCGGACTAAGAAAGTATTTAAAGGGTAAATTATGCCAAGTTATGGATTAGCTATATTGAGTTACATGCTAGGAAGATAACTCTTATTTCCCCCCAAAGGGAAAAAGGGCAAAGAGAATAGTTCCTATTTAATTAAACAACAGGGCAAAGAGAATAGTTCCTATTTAATTAAACAAAAGTAACTTCTTCAAAGAAAACATGCTGATATATATGCCTAACTTCCAGAATTTTCTATTACCTTGGGCTTTTTTCCCCAAGTTATTTAGCAAACCTAATAAGCTTAACTGTAACCAGATGATACTTGACTGTTGCAAAGCAATCCCATAAAAGAAAACAATATGTACGCCCACTGTTTAAGACATAGTGTCTTCCTCAAACCTAGGGAAGGCTTCCCCAACAACCCTATTACCATTTTCCTTGAAAATAACTAAGCCCCCACAATCCTGCCCCATAAAAAATGTTGGGTGGAAAGGCCACCAAATATCACACAAAGACATTTTGCCTGTTCCCTAATTGTTACCTTACTGTCCAAGCAGTCTGGACCAAGTGATGCAGGGCAGGAAAAGAAAGGAAGGTTTTGCCCAATACAGGGAGAAGTATGTCCTCTGCCAGTCACAGCTGAGGGTGGTGTCTGAAGGCTCCTGAGCAACGGCACAAGGAGCTGGGTGACAACCGCTGTGACACTACTCCAGCAGCTCTGTGCACTGCATCTTAAACAGGGTTTGAGACAGTGGAAAACAGTGCTGTGACCTCCTCTTCCAGAAGCTAAGAATCCCTTTGTGTATCCCTTTGTGTATTTTCTCATCACCATAAGTACTGACATTTACCTACCAGCAACTTAAGAGCCTATGATGCTTCTGGAAAGGTCCTACTTGGCAAAGATGTTCCTGTCTCATCTCCTGTGTCCTGCACATCCCTGCTTAACCCACACATCAAACTATGGAGATGTTCAAAACCCACCTGGATGTGTTCTTGTGTGATCTAATCTAGGTGGTCCTGCTCAGGCAGGGGGATTGGACTAGATGATCCTTTGAGGTCCCTTCCAATCCCTGACATTCTGTGATTCTGTGATACTGATTTTTCCTCACCTACATCCTACAATCGTCTCTAATGACATTGAACTTCAAAAGCGAAAAACGTGTTCTTGGCATTTTGGAAAAGAGCTTTTCCTCCAACAGGTATTAGCTCAAGCCAATTTGCAACAGCTGCTGCTTTAACAACCAACCCAACACCCTCCCAACCCCAGGGGTTTCCCCAGCACTGCCATTTATTGCCAATACATTGTGTTACATCCTTCTGCACTTCGAAGTGATTTTATTTTTCCTAGTTGCACCACTTTTCAAGACAGCACCTAACATAAACCTATGCAATCTGCATTTCATCTTGCCCACGGTTTTCCTCCACTAAACCTGTGTAATGTGCTTTCGGGCTCCTAACACTGATTCTTGCTCCAGATTTCTATCCTTGTCTAATCCATGTGGTCCTTTTCTTCCTAAGACTGGTTCGAATACATGTCCTCTCAGTCATTTCTGCTTCCGCCTCCCATTTCACTCAATGTAAATAGTAGGTTCTCACCAGATTTTTTCTTAGTAGGTTTTGAAGTACTTTCTAAGTAACACACTGAAAATAAAATGCAACAGTAATAATAATGAAACATCAACTTTACCACACATCATTTTAGATTACTATTGTCTGCCATCATTAACCAACAAATTCACGATTTAGTTAAAAGGATGAAAATCTTCATCATTTCCTCATGTCTGACTCATTCACAGCATCTCAGCATCTTGTTGTTACTTACCAGATGTACATCAGTATGACGGTTCGCCACCGAAGGACTGGGTGTTTCACTAAGTTTAGGATACCAGGTGCTGATTCATCCTTTCTCAAAGTTTCTGCACTTGGTTTTAATTTTAGATTAAATCTCTCTTTTCCATTACCAAGGGCAATATATTGCAACACACATTCAGCTTCTGCTGTTTTCCCTTGGGAATACAGCCATCGTGGCGATTCTGGGAGCATACTAAGAGGAAAGAAGAGAAAAAAATCAATGACAACAAGTTTATTGCTATGAAAAAAAATCGCTGAAGTCAATCTTTTCATTTTGCAAATCAACACTTTCAAAAAGGTACCAACACAAAATTCAGAAAAAAGCATTCTAGTTGCACTGTTCTGCACATTAAATTCCACATACTCCAATAATAAGACAGTTGACCTTACGGAACGATTGTTGGAGATGCTTGGCAAAGTACCCAGTCATGGGAGAGGAGTTTAAATCGAAATCTTGACTTCTGCTGAATTGACTTCTGAGGAAACGCTACACTAGCATTATCCAGTAAGCATCTCAAATCACAATTACCTGAAAAGCCTAATCAAAACCTAAACAAAACTTTGTTTTCACAAAGTTTACTTCAAGCTTCCCCATTACGGGAAGGACTCTGAGTTGGAGTGGGGAGAAGAGGAAAAAAACCTTACTGGAGAATTACTTGTCAGGCTCCAGTACCAGCTCATTGCTACCCGCCTAAGTTTGAAATCTCTTATTCTCAAGTATAATCAGAACATCCTTGCTTACCACAACTTCAGTTCATTATTCCTACTTTTTTCAGGCTGTAAAGTGTGCTGCTGCTTTTAAACGAGCCATAAAATAAAGAGCAGAAAATGTTTAACTGAATCTTTATTTTCTCTGGTACTCTTAACAGAAATACACATCCTACAATCTTTCGTTACTTCAGAGGATCACAGTATTTTTAGTGTTTGGGGGAAGTAATCCTATTTCCATCAGAAACAGAACACCACAGAGGAAAACATATTATGCAGAACTTATTTCCTCAGCCCAGAGGCTTTGTTTTCCTTGACTAAAAGAGGAGGGGGTTATTTTTGGTGTATTCTTTACCAGAACTTGTCTGAAGACCAGATCTATCTAAAAACATAATTGAAATAAAAAACAGAAGAGTTTTTTTATCTATGGTGCATGCTAGGCATTCCCTGTATTACTGTGTAGCCAACCTACTACGCTATTTCTTTTATTTCTTCTACAGCTCTACCTAGTGATCAGAAGTGTACGTGGTATAACAACTCAGGCCAGACAAAGCCAGCGCTTTTAATTCCTTAAGCACTGATGCATTTTATAATCATTTTTATGATAATGTCCATATAGGAATTCTAAACAGAAGCACCCAAGTACAATAGTTCTAGGAAGACACACAAGGGACCTCAAAAGCAAGGAGATACACAGCATATCATGCTAAAAAGGCAATTCCAAGTGCTCTCGCTTATTTCCCTTCGCATGCGTCTCACGAAAAAACACTTTCAAATCCCGCTAGGATCACTTCCAAAACTCCTCAAGTGCTGAAGCCCTTCCTTGGCAGAAGGCAGTGCTCCTGGCTGACACTCCAGCTCCCAGCCCAGATCTGGCAGGCCTTCCCTTCCCCAAGCAGATTTGTAATCGAGTTTTATTGGACAGCTGGCACACAGCTGCTCTTTGCAACGCTGGCCACCACAACTGCAACAGCATGCAGAAACACAGGCTTGTCTTCTGCGCAACCCTGACCTTCTGCTTCATCTAAAAGTGCTTCTTCCTTCACAACATGATTTTTCTCCTGCTCGGTTCTCAAAGCCATACAGAAAATAGTCATGCTCTTTCATACCACTCTCTTGAATGATGACAAGAAAAAATAACTGTTAAATCACTGTGTGCTTTTTCTTATCATTGTAATGCACATGAATCACTTACAAAGAAAGGAGGAGGAAGATGACTCCTGGAGTATTCGATACCAAGGCAAGGTAGCGCCATTCTCTCACACAGTAACCCAGTAACGCATAAACAGCAATGCCAACTGCAAATGTCAAATTAGTTAGCGAACCTGAAAATACAAGGCCAAAAAAGTGACTACAGAAGCCAGTGGCAAGAGAAAACAAAAAATTAAGCAGAAGCCTGAAATTCCTAGCCTGTGATATACTTAAATAAAATAACAAAAAAATCCTTGCAGTATCTTTACATCACTTTGTGAACCAGCTGGCTTAAGTATATTGTGCAATTCCAATAGGGGGTAGGGGGGTTCACT